AGACTGGAGTGCAGTGGCTGTTCCCGGCCACCGCAGCCTCGACCTGCTGGGCTCCAGCGACCCTTCCGCCTCAGCCTTCCAAGTAGCTGGAACTACAGGTATGCGTTACCATGCCTGGCTAATTTTTTATTTATTGTAGATACGAGGTCTCACCAAGTTGCCTGGGCTGGTCTTGAACCTGAGGGCTCAGGCAAGCTACTCGCCTCGGCCTCCCAAAGTGCTGAGATTACAGGCTGAGCCACCGAGCCCGGCCTATTTATTCTTTTTATGGCCCTCTAGCAACCTGAACCTATGTTTCCTTCTGAGAGTTTTCTAGGTTTCTCTCTTATGTTTAGGTACTTGATCTGTTTAATTTTCGCATACAGTGTGAGGTAAGGGTTCAACTTCATTCTTTTGTATATGGATATCCGATTGTCCCAGCACCATTTGTTAAAGAGACTTCTTTCCCCATTGAAGGTCTTGGCACTGCTGTCAAAAATAAATTAGTCATCAATATGCGGGTTTTTTTCTGTCCTTCCTTTTTTTTTTTTTGAGTCAAGGTCTCTGTCACCCAGACTGGAGTGCAGTGGTACAGTCACAGCTCACTGCAGCATCAAACTCCTGGGCTCAGGCACATGCCATCATGCCCAGTTGATTTTTTTTTTTTTTGTAGAGATAGGATCTCACTATATTGCCCAGGCTGGTCTGAAAATCTGGGGCTCAAGTGATCCCTCTGCCTCAGCCCCCCAATGTGCTAGGATTACAAGTGTGAGCCATTACACAGTACAGTCTATTTCCTGTACTTTAAATTCTATTCCACTAATCTATTTGCCTATCCTTAAGTGAAACGCATTCTGAAAAGATCACTATGGCTACTCTGTGGAGACCAGATTTCAGGAAAGCCAGAGTAGAAACAAGAATACCAGCCTGGAGACTACTACAACCCAAATAGGCCCGAAATGCTGCTGGCTTAGAGTTATAGTAATAGACATAAAAAGCAGACAGATCTTTGCTTTTAATGATGGAATCGCCAGGCTCGGTGGCTCAGCCTATAATCCCGCGCCTTTGGGAGGCTGAGGTGAGTGGATTGCCTGAGCTCGCGGGTTCGAGACCCGCCTGGGCAGCGAGACCTCATCTCTACAATAAGTCAAAAAATCAGCCAGGCGTGGTAGCGCGCGCCTGTAATTCCAGCTACTCGGAAGGCTGAGGCGGAAGGATCGCCAGAGCCCAGCAGGTCAAGGCTGCGGTGGCCGGGAGCGGCCACTGTACTCCAGTCTGGGCGACAGAGTGAGACTCCAATTCAAAAAAAAAAAGATGGAATCAACTGGATCTCCTGTTCAACTGGTGTGGGTTTTAGGGAACGAGAAGTTCAAGGATAATTACTAGTTTTAAGTTTAAGCCCCTGAATGGATGGTGGCATCATTAATTAAGACAAGGCAAACTGTAGGGGATGTTTGA